GCATTAGTACATCTGTTATTAAAACGTTTTTTATGAAAAAATTTTACAAGCTTTATTGAGTTCTCAACGTCCGTTTGTTTATTTGTTTGATTGTTTCTTTACTGTTTTGTTTTGTGGGTTTGTGGCAGAGGCATAGCGAGGGGGGGGGGGGGGGAATAGGTCCCCGGGCGCCGACCTTAGGGGGGGGGGCGCCAAATTGAAAGTTTGAGGGGGGTGCAAATGAAAAGTTCGAGGGGGGGGGGTGTGCAAATCGAAAGTTTGTCCCCGGGCGCCGGAAAGGGTCGCTACGCCTCTGGTTTATGGCAAGTTTTTTTTTACTCAATTTTGACCCACATTTCGATCAAACTTTTTAAATACCTTTTTCTATTGTAACAATGCATGAATATACATTTTTTATCTAAATAAATAGACTATTTGGCATTACATTTAAATTAAACATGTCTAAACTAGGTTACACATCTGAAGCGATTACTCGACCAGAATGTTTACAACCGTCAGGACCCAAATAGAGACAGATAACTGTCCTTCAGGCAGTAGCGTAGCGAGGGGGGGGGGGGGCGGGGGCGGGGGGGGGTCATATGTCCCGGGCGCCGACCTTAGGGGGCGCCAAAATAGGTTGGAAAAATACTAATGAAAGTATGAGGGGGGTGTAAATCGAAATCTTCAGGGGGGGGGGGTGCAAATCGAAAGTTTTGTCCCCGGGAAGGGTCGCTACGCAAATTATTTTTAGTCCCAGACAGTGTAGTGTCACTTCATTTGGAACGATTGACCAAAACTTGGAAAATTAGAACATATATAATAACCTATCTTTTAAATGCATCTGAAATTAGATAATAAAATCATACTTGCTCACTATAATTTAAGCTTTTGGTGGCTAAAATAGGTAAGGGAACTCATGAGCTGAGCATAGTGCTGATCACACTGTCCTTTCATGAATATGCCGATGTCTAAGAAACAAGTGAACTCTACTTTATCTACCCAAGTAGACTGCCAGGTTCGAAAAGGTTGACTTTAATTTTAATTTTATTTTTATTTTATGGCGTTATCAAACGGCCAATCATCTTTTAAGACTATTATTTGATACATGTTTTTCTTCTTCTCCTTCGTTCTTAATTGTAATTTTGAACTGGATTCCTCTAACACAATTAAGGATTATGTGACAACAAGTTAAACGCCTTATAATTTGTTGACTTCGATTTCAGCCTGCTTTTCTTTCTGGATTTGCTTTCTTAGCCTTCGTCCAAACCCAGAACAAACTACAATGCAGTAGTTGTTTGATTTTGGAGTTTCCTCTCCCTAGATGGGTTGTAACACTTCAATTAGCATCTGTTTTGTAATTATTTTAATAAATAAAGCAAAATCCTTACATAAGTAAAAAAAACTAGTTATTAAACGTCACTTAGGAAATAAAAACTACATAACGATCCCGGTTTATAACAATATACATAACGATCCCTGTAACATTAAATATTTTTGATGGAGCTGTTCAGCTATACCTGTCATTATAGACACGCAACAAACTACCTGAACTTAGAAGGTTAGAAAGTGAGTGACATGACTTAACTCCCCCTAATGAGCCCAACTTAACAGCTCGCCTGTGGCCCACTCCAGCAGAAAAGAAAATGTGTATAAAAGATCTGGTTTGTCCAGTGTGGGGACCAAACCAGCTACCACACACCTCACACTTTAACAGCCAACTCTAGTCCAGCTACAGCAGTGAGTATTGAGTAACTTTATCAATTAATTCTATAAACGAATTGCATTTTTAAATTAATAAAAAAAAATTGTAATAATAGGGCTTGTAAGTAAATCTACAACTATTAGTTTTCGTACTTGCTAGCCAGCTAGTATTTTTCAAACTAAACGTGAATATTTTATGAATTAAAAAAATGAATTAATTGCCAAGTTACTTCCGCTATTGCTAAGTTATTTACAAATATAAGCAATGATAATGGATAGACTACATCGTGTAGGTTAGAAAATTATACTGATTTTTTTAAAGAAGCGTGCATCTTGTTATTATTTATTCGAATCGGTTAGAAGGAGTCCTAAACGTAGTTAAAATATGAATATTGTTAATAGCCTACGCCTATCCATACTTAATTTGATGTTATTAAAAGTAAAATGTTATTAATTGCAACAAATTGGTTAATATTGGTATTTTAAAGTCTTGAAGCGAGGCCTAGAAACGGCCGCCGTGTTTTTGTTATCAAATGGGAATCATGTTCACAAATGTTAATTTAGTTCAAAATTGTATCTTTCCCTGGCTAACGAGGCTTCACTAGTAAGTAAGAGAGAACGTGACTTACAAACCCAAATGTCGGACTAATTATTAAAAGCTAAGGTTTGGTGACGTTACAAATGTCGATGACACCAATCTCCACTACTTTATCATTGCATAGTAATCTAATAATCAACAAGTATACAGTAATTATGCTTAAAATTCATAATTATATATATATATATATATATATATATATATATATATATATATATATATATATATATATATATATATATATATTCCCCTTCCACAGACCATGTACACATCCATCTTTGCCGTACTTCTCTTGGCCACCGCCGCCCTCGCTAGCAACTATGGCTACGGCCATGGTGGCTACGGATACGGTGGATTTGGTGGATTCGGTGGAGGCTTTGGTGGAATCGGAGGATTCGGTGGCATTGGAGGAGGTTATGGAGGATATGGTGGAGGCTTCGGTGGAATTGGAGGAGGCCATGGTGGAATTGGAGGCGGCTACGGTGGAATTGGTGGAGGCTTCGGTGGAATTGGAGGTTTCGGTGGAATTGGAGGAGGTTTCGGTGGATTAGGAGGATACGGAGGTTACGGCCATGGAGGTGGTCGCGGTTACCTCCCCGTCATCTACGGTAAATATTTAGTTAAAATTTAATTTTAACATCTATTTTCCGATCGAAAGTTACGAATGTTATAAACTGTGTAGCTTCATCTAAAGAAATTGTGTGTATTATTATGTACGTTGACGGTTCAGCTTACAATGTAAACGTTCATAAATTACACCACACTTAACGGAAGGTTGATTTTGGGCATCGGTGATATAAAGAGTGCAAGGGGGCGGGAGGTTCATAAAGTGTAACAATCGCAATACACTTTGAAAATATGTAAAAAAAAATCTCAAGCCTGAAGTTGCTTTAAATAGTTTAAAGTATATTAAGGTTCGTTTTTGTAAGTTGAAACCACAACTGATTATAGTACCTGATTTGATCCAGCTCGATTATTGCTTAACAAAAGTGCATTAAAAATAAAAGAGAGAAATTGCAAACTAAAGTGGGTGGTAGTTAGCTGGACATGGACGTAAAGTTAGTTGAACATGGCTTTTAGTAAGAATGTGTGGCTTTTGGGTGGTGGGGTGAGGGTGGCGAAGAATAGGATATAAAATGTTTTCCTGTGTTTATATGCAACCCATATTCTTCTTCATTTAATTAGTTAATTAACTTCATCAACTTGTTGTTTCTTTTTCAGGAAAAGGCAACTACTATTAAATATTTGGCCAAGAAATGACCGACAACTTTAAATTGTCTCCTGCTAATTACCCGACTAATAAGCTGGT